GGCTGAGGGACTTCAACAGATGGAGGGAAAAAGAGGAAAGGTAAGAAATGGGAGGCATTTTAAAAAAGTAATCGCAACAAGCCGTCCATCATTGCAATCTTTCTTAAAAAATACTTTGCTCAAAATAATGTAGATTTGATAATCTGTCAATGGGGTGAAAGGTAGTTCCTGGTTTCTGAATCACAGCTTTTTCAAATACATTCTTTATTTTTTGTAGTAATTCTTATTTGTAAGAACAACAACAACTACAGTATTTGCCATTAAGAGTTTATGTTTGTAGGTGACCATCTTGAAACCCCTGCAGAAACATCACAATGTGATCAGACCAAAGTGGGGAAGCAAAAAAAGATGTGAAAATGAAAAATTGTGTCCATTCATTCAAGGCCACATTTAATATTTGTTTTTATATTAAACAACTCCCACTCAGTGTGTAGAAGAAAAATGATTACATCCCGATTGATTTTGCTCAAGACATTATGTCTTACTTTTACATTTGGCCTCAAAGTTAAGGGCATTAATATCTCTGAGTAGAGAAACTGCATAAACTTCAAACTTTGCAGCTTTTGGCAGCTATCTACAAAATACATGCCAAAACTTCCTGTCTCCATGTGTTTCAAACATATAAGGTTCTACATTTAAAGTCAATTCGACACCTCATCTCAGTATGAATCCCCTCCAAAAGCATATATGATATGAAGCGTCAGAGAAGTTTGAGGTCTTGTCTCATATTTCCCATCGGCTACACTTTCATCCCTCTCTCTGCAGCAGACCACCCCTAGCAAGCCTGCCCAAATAAGGTGTTCTGCCTTCAATGCTCTACTCTCTGAAGAATCTGAAGAGTTCAGAATCTGCCGAAACTTTGGATCTCAAACACAAACATCTTTTATTCAAAGGGTGTCTGTAATCACAAATAAATAGCATTTCTAGCGATGAGCACAAGGCACAAGAGAGAGAGGAGCCTATCTCAGGAGCAGATAACCAGTAGATATGATTCCTTAGATAAGGAGCGGTAATTTGGCTTTTAGAGATAGCTCCAGGGGCCGCTGTGCGGAGCTGCACTGATTTACTGTGTGTATGGGAGGTTGTTTTTTTCCACATTTTTATCTCTCCTGTTGAAGAGCTTTTCATCTCTGATGATTTTCTCTCTTTTTTATGTATTTCCCCCAGAAGGTGAGATCACAAACCCACAGAAGGCAGAGTGGCATGTTTTAAAGCGATGGACAAAATACAAATATTTGAAAATGTATTTCATGGTAATTATGTCAGGTTTCATGGCCTTGGCACAGTACTGAGGCACAGCCTGGATGCCTTAATTTGTGTAGAAACTGTAATCATTTGTTCATTTCAAGGTGAAAATTGCATTTTTTAATTTAAATTGTATCCTGCATGATAGGCTATTATCTAGAAAAATTGTCACTGTGTATGGCGGTCTATGCCCTGCCGTCACGCCTGTTTAGAGCCCACCTCTACTGAGAAAGGGCTTATATATGAATCTCCTGACTGAATGCACCCAGCTTGTTCTTCACTTAGGGCCGCCACTGCTCTCATTTCCATTTTGTTATTAATATTAATTAGTTTGAGAGCACAGCTCGGATTTTAAATGCAAATCAAGCTCGGCTTCACATTGATTTTTATCTCGCTCAGATATCTTAGATTTACAACTTTACTTGGACTGTTTTTTTGTGTGTGTGTGTGTGTGTGTGTGTGTGTGTGTGTGTGTGTGTGTGTGTGTGTGTATTTGTGCAGGAATGCATCATACTTGTATTTGCAATATTTCTATCGCTATAACTCATATTTAAAATATAAACTCAAAAAATGCCATATGGGTGCAATATTTCATTTGAAGTTTCTGGTAAATAAGGTGACTTTAAGCTATGACAATACCCTATTTGAGCTCCTGCATTTTACTTATACATGACAGATTGTCTATCTGTAATACCTGAGATGGATAACCATGACATTTCAAACACTAAAATGTTCTGAAAATAAGATTCTCCCCCTATGCAAAACACACAGTTGAGTAGGAGATATATGCACACCAAGCTGTGCGTCTGTGTCTGTGTCAGTGGGATCCTTGAGGTGACGAGCACAAAGCTGAGGCTCAGGTACACAGCGTATGCTGGCATAATTACAGGATTTGGGGGATTATTATACTGTAAGTGCTTTCATGGCGACAGCTGGGAGCTTTTTACTCCCCGTGACACATAATCTCAAAGAATAAAACCAAGACCCCCAGAGCATCTCTTAATCATTTCTTAGCATACCTGCACACGGCTCTGAACTCTCTTTCTGAAGACAGATTTGTAAAATTAGAATATAATTATCATATCTGTTTTAAATCATTCTAAAGTCATGTTTTCAAACACATTTCTTTCCTTTAAAATTGAGTCTTTTTTTGGCCTGTTTTTCTTTACTGGAGTCCCTCATGTTTCTGTTCTACCGTCTTCTTCTTCATGGCTTTTCTGAATCTTCAGCAGCAGGTTTATTTATCACAGCATGGCCAGGTTCAGGAGCCTGGTTCTAAATTAGATCTGAATCAGAGCCTCTATTCCGTGGCTCAATTCCAAAGTGAGTATGACCAGGCTGAGGCTGTGACTTCTCTATCGCTGCCTCCTGAGCGATAGGGCCTCCTGGACTGTACGGCGAGGCTCAGGAGTTTCATTTCCATCCCTGTGATCTAAACAAACCCATTACTGCCAGCCATTTATGCACAGGGGCAGTACGCAAGCCCCGGGCCTGAGGACACAGCCCACGGCTAAGCTACCGTGGCGCAGAGCCACCTTCAATGGCCGTATGTCCATATAGAGAGGGGAGAGGAGGAACGGAGAGCTCGGGCCTCTGCACTTTATCTAAACCACTCCAGAGGGGCGAGTGGAATCGGCTCTTGTGGGCTCTGTTTATCCTCTGCTCCTGTAGTCAATCAATTAGGGGATCAAAGGAGGAGATGAGGGAAGTGTCACAAAGCTCTCCCACACACCACTGCCTGAGCTGCCACTTCGTCCAGTCTGAGTGACAGCAGACCGAGGAGGGAGACAAAACTCTCAGGCCGGCACCTCAGGAGACAAGCTGGAGCAAAGGGGACAACCATAGCTCATGCCAAGGTTTAATCTGGACAACCAGAACACAAACTTTTAGAGGCATATATGAGGGATGACACACAGCAGTCAGAGAGAATATTGAGCTATGCATTAAAAAGAAGTCTAGAGGATCCACTGGAATCCTATCCCACAAAAAAATGTAATGTTAGTTACTGACCATATTCCTGCCTTATTGACATTGTCCTCCAGAGCCGCGTCTTTTTTCAGGTGTTTTAAATGTGTGTTGTGTAATTAGACACTGAAGAGAATTTCCCTCTGGAATCAAATTGATCTGAGCCCTGATGATATAATGTGGTGCGCTGCAGTTTGAAGCTAGTTTGAATCTGTAAATCTAAAACTAATTAAACTGCGTCTATTTATACTCAATGAGCTTTTCAAAATGTTCTGACATTTAATAACGTTTGAAATATGAATGATATTTACCTCATAATAATATAGGCCGAATAAATCTTGTTAGATGAGTCCTTAGTTTATTTAGCAACAAATGTTTCTCCTAATACAAATTGATGTTAATGATGACTTGTGATTAGTACTGCATTTCATTTGTTTCATTAAATTGCAAATGGACAGTTAAGTATAATTATTTGCTATATCAAATGTAAATACCTCTCAGTGGATAATACAGTGCAACATGGCATTATTTGCTGTCTGATATAATTCACACTGGATTATGCAAAGACATATTATAGCTGCAGTGACAGCAGACATATCTTACATGTTTGAAGTGTGTTTGAAATCAGTCAGGATTGAATGAACATACCTAAGGCGTGTTTCACATACCTCCAGCAGTGCTGATGGTAAAAACTGAATGAGCTCCACTGTAATAAGAAACACAGCGGATGCCTCTACAACACACCGGTTAGTTCCCCTGCATTCACACCATACCACAGAAATTTGCAGACAACATTCCCCGGTCAGCGGCAGAGTGCAGAGCGCTGCTGGTCAGTGGGCACAATGAATGACTTCCTGCAGCTGCAGCTAGACACGCTCTCTGTCTGTGTCTCTGAGTGTGGGACGTCTAAGCTCTCATCACTCCCTAATCACATCACCAGCACTGGAACAGTGCAGTGGTGGCCTGCCGGCTCCGCAAATGTACTTGAACACACACAGAGGACACACACAGACACACAGATATATTTATATATGCATATGTGAGCAGGTGCATTCATTTATTTGACACTAGGGCTGCAACCAGCAGCTATTTGCATTATTACAGTTACATTTTTACTCAAATAAATGAAAAGAATAATTAAGGAGCATAAGGTGATGCCTTCCCACTGCATGTACTTAAAGATATTTAATCCCAATGATTTACGACAACACATTCTTACATTTGATGAGTTGAAAGCAGTAGATTTCCATCTTTTTTTGCTTAGAAAATGGCCTAAAAGATCTATCAATTATAAATGTTTTTTCTTTTTTTTAGATTAATTCTTTGTTATGCCTTAGTTTATAAATCGCTTTAAACCCTCCACATAGAAAAATATCTTTCATACAAATGTTATGTTATAAAGACTAGTGCCGGTTTGTCCGATTTCTTGGCCTCTGGTATTGCAGTTTTCTCGATAACCACTCATCCAATACATTCAAATACGATGCTGAACTTCCATTGTTCCTCAGCCAAGTGTGAATTTAAATGATGAATGGTTGTTTGAGAACATTAAAGTAAAGCTATTGGTTGAGGAACACTATATGCGCTTTTTAAAAGTTGTTTTGAATCTTACCTGCCCAACTAGCATATTTTATTTTGCTTACCTGTTTTTGCTCGTTTGTTTTATTTTGCAAGCAGAAAATCTTCAAAAAAGCGAGACAGAGAGAGAGAAAGTATTTTCATTTTGTTGAGATGGAAAACAATAAGACACATACAATGACAAAAGAGACACACTGCAATATCATTTTTGGATCTTTAATTGATAACAGTTACGCCAGTGTTACAGTAAACACACCAACAGGCTGAAGGTAGTAAATACCAGTACAAGTTTCCCACTACTCTAATACTTCATACAGCAGAATAAATTATACCATGATAATATACACACATGCGGAACAGAAAAAGGAGTAAAGCAAAGCACAGATGTCAGAAAGCAACTAAACAGGTTAGGGGTCGAACAGACTGGAGGGGGGATAAGGACTCGTATGCTTTAAATATCCAAATGTTTATTGACGCAAGTGTTAGAAATGGGTTTGATACACTAAAGACGATTCTAAAATTCTTCCTTTTTAAAATATACACAAGTGAGGCGTCTAAGCGGAGCAGTTTGAGCTGCAGCCATTCAGTGCTGAGTCTTTGACTTCTTCTCCTGAAGTCTTATTGGTCCACAGATCCAATGAGACTCAAAAGAGTTTCCCAGAGCAGAGAAGCTGTGTTCACCAGCTATATCATCACCATCGTGGACCGAGTCTCGGGGTTCAGGAGTGTCAGATCCACTGTCCAGTCGAGGTTGATCTGCACTAATAATCAGTCTGTGAGATCCTGAAAATGCTTTGACACATGAAGATGGTTCATCCGGCCATCTTTCAAATATACAACAGTCCTCCGTGGTCTAGGGATCTTCCTGTGTCAACTTTCACTTTCCATTGAGCTCAGTTTGATCCTCTTTGTACAATTTTAATTGGAACATTTGAATGGAATTGATATTTGACTAATTTATACAAATTCATTCGTACCTGGGCCCAAAAACAAGAACAAAGCTTTTGGTAAAAACTGGTAAACCGATTAAATACAGTTAAAAAAACAACAACGGAAAACAAGCCAGTTAAGGAAACTCAAATTAAACATTTACTTCCACAGATCCCTTGCTTACCTACCACTCAACATAGTTGTGTTTTAGTATAAAACATACTCTTTATAAACAAACGATACACAATCTGCTCGAGCTACTGTACAGTTTTCAGTTTTTAAAGGCGACTGAGGACCAAATCCTGTCTTGAGATAAGGTGGACAACACACCATCATCACACTGATGCCAGAGAAAATACCACACACACCTCAAAAGGGAACAGCTGGTCTTGGATAGTGTCAAAAGTCAACTATGAGTGCTACACAAATGTCTCATATCCACTATTCTGTAATTGTTTTCTTTTTTACATTTCAATGAGTAAGATTAGAGGGGGGCTCTGGTCCAAACCAGAGAGGAGGGCCAAACATTGCGGTTACCTGTGCCCTTTCGTTACTGACTTAATTAGATGTTTTTTCCAGAGTGCATGTGAATGGCACAGCGTGTGAACTTTTTAATCTCACAACAGAAAGCGTTGGAATGTCGGCAGTTTGTTCGTGGAATGTTCCGGTGGAATGTTGAGAAGGAATGCTTGCTTAGTCTGAGAGCGGAAACCAGCCGAAGGTGCATTTACAAAATTAGCTAATTACGCTGTAAACACAGAAATACTGGCTAGTCATTTGGAGGGTCACTGTGAATTAGCTTTGACATTATTTCTGTGTGATTTAATCTGCTTTACACTGTTAAAGTCACACAGGGTTCCCTGGCAGATGGGATTTGGAAGGAGGATAGAAGGGGGGGGGGAAATTGAGTTAGCCCTCCTTGGCAAGGTCCATATTTCTAAACAAAATACATTAATTTCCCCAATCCTGTTTTTGCAAACAATGCCCCCCCTCCCCATGGACTGCAGCTAAGGATGGGATGGAGGTTAGAAGGGGAAAGCTATTGGCCGCCAAAACGCTGCTTTAATTCCCTGCAGAATCCATCCAGCCAGACTTCCCACAGAGTGGCCAAGTTCTTTAGGAATGTCAAGATGAATATGAAAGAGGGAAGGTCAAATCGCTCATGAACATTAGAGCTCAGGGAGCAGGCAGAGGAACTGCAGCTTGGAAAACAATCATCCTCTCTTTGTGTGACTGTGCCGGCACACAAAACATGCACACGCCACAGACACTTACTCCCAAATCATCTCAGTCATCCACACTGTGTTTTACACACCAACACCTAACAGAGAAAAGAGATACGAATGGAATCAAAGAACAACATAAATCACATTAACCATAATCATATAACAGCAACAATAATCTTAACAATATCAAAAAGGAACAAGAATAAGAGTTGTTCAAATGATATTGGCTTTGTTAACTACTATGAACAGCAAGGGCAAAGTACATGTTGTTGATGGCTCTAAATGTGTGCTGGACTGCAGCCCTGACAAACAGGAACCCGACCATCCTCGGGTGTTCAGGGGTCCTGTATGGGACCAAATCAAAACAGAGTATGGGGCTGGGGGAGGTGTACAAGGAGCAGGCAGAGATACCCAAATATTTAGAAGAGAGGGTTCAGAGCCGCCTGGTGGTTGACAATGGTGTGAAAAGTTTACTTCCATTCCCCGGAGAGCATTGTCACACCCGCAAGCGTCAATTTGTCTGTGCTCTGATGTCATGGCCAGGCTGCGGAGCGAGCAGCAAAGAGGCGAGCTGGAGTCCAGACTGGATGGAGCATGGAGAAGGGTGGCAGAGGGCGGAGGAGAGTGGCGCAGGTTGCCTCCCAGGGAGGGTTTAGTAGGCCTGTCCTGTCTCCACCTGCAGCAGTCCGAGCACGGCCGAGTGGTCTCCAAGTTTCATCCTCCTCTGGGTGGACAAGCTCACGTTCTTGGCCAGGTAGTCCACAGCAGCTGCACAGAAACAAAAAGAAAGGAAAATCACACGTCAGACAGGTGGTAGAATCCTGACATAAAGTCTTTTCACTCTCATTTCATTCCTCTGATTAAGGCTGAAATAAGTTGTGGCAGAAGGGAGTGAGTCAAACGAAAAACAATTCACAGAGAGAGAGTGAAAGATAAAAACCCCTCCCGTGTCCCTTGTCTGAGGTTGGCACGCTGCTGGCACAGAGCATGTGCATCCTGGTAGAGTCTCCATGCTGTCACTCAGACGGGTCCCCGTGTGTGTTCTGTGTGCCAGTCTTCATTACTCTTGGCATCTCTGATTTCATGCCCTCCACACTCCACATGGCCGCTCATTTTCATCCTCAGACAGCAGCTCTCTCCTCTCTCCTCCATTCATTACCCATCTACTGTGCTCAATCACCATCTTAATTAACCTCACATCAGCTCACATCCGCACTGCCATCAGTTTCTGCTGGCTGACAAAACACTGGGGCGCACACACACAAAACGTGACGGACTGGCACACACTCACATGCATTCATGCACCGCAACACAAACAACATCAACAAAGATGAACAATGCAGCACTTCACTACGAGAAGCTGCATATAAATACAAACAAAAGTCGGATCGCCGGCTGGCTTGTTGGGGAAGTGTGCTTCATTTTAGCTCTTATGAATGGCTGTGACAGCATCAGTCAATTATGCTAATCTAATAAAGCAAACTCTTTCCTGCCCTGAGGGTGTGTGTGTGTGTGTATGTGATGGAGAAGAGAGGGAGAGAGGTGGGCAAGAGGACACTGTGGCCCCTGAGGGTGTGCCGTTCTTTGAAGTGGCCCTTTCCTCTTTCCCATCCAAGTGGAGTGGGGTGTGACTAAGGCAACTCTCTAGGAGGATGGTGGTGGTGGAGGAGGGGTTGGGGGGGGGGTGGTCTTTATCAAGAGCACGTGTCTGCCTCCACCAACAAGGGTGCAAAGGTCAGTAGGCTCCCTGGCCTGGGAGTTGGGCTTCTCTTCATAGAGGATGATATAGAGGAATGACTCATTTGGACAAACAATCAACTAAAGCTAAAACCCAAACACAGAGTATATAAATGTTGAAGAGGGGTGTACTTACTCTGGCCGTACTGGCTGTACTGGTAGCCTGCAGTGACGGGGTCCACGCTGTAGCTGGTGGCGCTGTAGGTGGGGGGGCAGTATGACTGGGAGGAGGCCAGGCTGTCCTTGATGCTGTCGGAGCGCTGGCTGCAGCTGCCAGAGATGGGGTTGGAGCTTTCCAGGCTGCCGTGCAGGGGGGAAATGGAAAAGTCGTGCTGGGACTGGGAGGATACAGCGCTGGGGTTACTCAGGATACTCATCACCTGGAGGGGGGGAAGGGGAAACGGAGGATGTTAGACATTTGGAAAATTGAGGATCAAAGCATTGACAGAGTTGAGGGAAAGTACTTTTTTTCCTGCAAATGTAGTGCCATCCTAGTACTTCACGGTAAAGATGGCAATAGAAATATCCCATTTTCAACTTTGAAATAGGGAGAGGGAAAACTTCGCCATCTTTTTTTTTTTTTTTAAAGAGCAGGGGGAAGGATACAAGGAGGGTGATGAGGTTAAAAAAGGAGAAAGGGAACAAGAGAGACTGTTCCCATTAGCTGGCGCTGCCAGTTAGTGTTCTGCTGTGGGACAGAAGGGTCCCAGGGTGATAATAGACCCACCATCCGTGCCAGACGGCCCCTGTCCTGGAGCCTGAGGCCCGAGCCCGAGCCTACAGCACAACAAGCACCAAGGGAGTCCCTAATCCCTCGCCCCTAGCCTACCCATCTCATGAATAGTAATGGAGTTGGAACTGGTAAATGATCCCCTCAGATCCCCACACAAAGTAGGCTGCACAAACCTTACTGAGGGGCCCGTTGAAACTGCAGGTTGAGGCTTGCTGAACATCACAGTGTGTGTATTATTCATAGCGTAAAAGAGCTTCCAATTCAATATTCTAGATTAATGTAATAGCATGTGACATTCGTCAGAAGAAGGTCTCAAACATTTTTAAAATGGAAGAGATTACCTCGAGTGCTACCCTAGTCTGAAGCACAGCGGCCCAGAACACTGTGGAGAATTTTGTTTTCTTATGCTGCGAGTTTCTTTAAGTGAAAAAGGAAAGTAGAGTGTGTGTGTGAGAGCGGGTGGTAAAAAGAGAATTGTCCCACACATGCTTCCCTCCTATAGCAGGGAAGCCTTCCCTTCAACATCAGGTTCATGTTGAGTTTTGCTATGCTGCACTGGCCTTTGGCCCCTCTGCTGCTAAACCAATTAGCCCATCATGGAGGTGGTTACACAGGGGTGATACACTCACAGACATATGTTCGCATGAATGCACACATGATCGGACCCATGCGTGCACACACATAGGCTGCAAACATGGAGGCTGCAAGCCAAACAGTCCACAAATGATGCACTAAGCCAGGAATATCCCACAGAGGGAAAATTAACCATATTCTGAAAATTAATCATATCTTCAGAAAAAGCCTCCCAGGAAATATGAAGCACTCGAAGCACATCAGAAACATAAAGGCTGGTTAGTCATTTCCACATGTTAATTCTATCAGTATGGAAACCCCCACCCCCCCATCTCCTCCACATCTGCAGACAAAGCATGTGACATGTATCCATAAGAGGGAGATTCATGGCCCTCTTCGTGCTGGACACATGTGATGCTTCCTCCCATATGGAGCAGAGCTGCACACTCTGAGGATGAGAGGAGTATGTGTCCTGATGGTTTGTGATGGGGGGGGGCTTATTAAGTGTCCTGAGAGACAGCTGCAGGGCATGAGTCCATTTTAGTCATTGGTTAATTAAAGCTTGATTACATCGCTTCCTTATTAAATAGAATAGCCAACAAATGCCTTGAATATTATTCATGCTCATAAAAGTTCTTCAAAAGAAAATTACTTCTTATCATTGACATCGTGGCAGTTTTGCTATTTTAGAGAATAAGGATGGGTCGGGCAATCTAAAGTCTAAGTGTTGTCATCTGTTAGGACCTCGTTCCCGTACAGTCTTAATGATTTGTGTTTTGCTAAAGGGGAGGATATAAGCTCGTAATTAGAGGTCAGTTTCTCAATAGCGTCACATCAGGTATAGGTTTTGTTTTCACTCCATTATTAAAAAGGAGTTACTTCAGCCCTTTAGCATAGTTGTCTTTTTCCACCCACATCTTTTATGCCAGCGTCCAGTTTAATTGCATGGCTTTGCTTTGATGTCCTTATAAAGTTATCTCAATTTACATTCAGGGGTTGAATGATACTTAGTCACATGAGCTCTGCCACCGGATACCTTCATATGTTTCTGTTGCTTTGTAAAACAAAACTTTATGGATATTATAGTCTCTATAAAAAGAAAAAAGTGAAGCTGCTGGCAAACTCTTAGCCAGGGAATTTACTCTCATAAGAATAAAAATGATTTCATTCAGATTTCAACATGAACACAGCTTTATAGGCATTCATGTAATGTAGTTCTTGGATTGACAACGTTATTATCGATGCAATATTTGAAGTTTAAGTTTCACTGAATTGGATCTGCTGCACCAAGATGTCACTCAAGTGTAAATTATACCGATCAGACACACACATGTGCATTAAACAAGACTGGAGTTTAAATAAGTTTTAAAGAGAAAAAAAAACTGCCAGATTATATTTCCTACTCTTTACACTTTAGCTGAGAAGACTTACTCCCTGATTCTCTCTATCCCTCCTTCCCTCCCTCCCTCCCCTTTCCTCTCCTCTCCCCCCACCTCCCTCTCTTTCCTTGCAGACAGCGTCCTCAGCAGCCCAGAGTTCGTTTGTTGTTTGACGTTGTGTGAGTGCTGGTTTGGGAGATAATGTGAGCCAGGACCTAGTTTAAAGGACAATGCTCCAGGGCGTTCCCTGCCTCTCTCACCCCCTCCTCTCGCCTTCTCCTTCTCCTTTTTTCTGCTCCCTCTCAACAGATAGATTACTTTATAAATAATAATAAAAAAGTAATTAATTCTCTCAACTTCTGAGCCCTCCAGCCTGTGGCGAAGTGAATGGGGGAGTGGAAATTGATACAATGTGCATCCTTTCAGATAAATAAATAGTGCACTTGAAACACAAAAAGAGGCCCTTTCATACCTCCCTAATTTCTTCAACAGCCAAATTACATTTTTTTTGTCTGTGTGAATGTTCGACGAGATGTTCTTTGTTGGATTTCTCTCCGGAATAAAACAATGTGACAGAGACAGAGCTAAGAGCGATACCAAACATATATAAACAAAGCAAAGGGGTAAAAGTTAGCAACACTCTTACAGTATGTAAGTTATTTGTGTTTTTTCACTTTAGACAATTAAGTTGCAATATTTAAAAGTATGGCATTTATGATTTTATATTTAGAAGAGCAAACGTAATTTGCCTCAAGTTCTGTGACTAGGAAAAATGATTTTACGACAGATTTTTTATCATTAAAGCCCCTAAAAAAACTCTCACAATGGAGCAAAACAACACAAATTCGTAAATGTAAAGAGCGGAAACGGAGCAGGGAATATATGACAGCCTATAGAAAGAGGGCGAGGGGGCAAGGAGGGAAGAGAAGTGATACAGAGTGAGTGAGAGGAGAGTGGAGGCTTTGGGAAGTACAAAGACTCCTGTAGGACTGCGCTGGCCTGAGGGCTAGCCTGCCTGGAGAGCTGATAGGAGCCCCTCTGTTCCATTCCCAGCGCCAGCGCCAACACACCCCACTCCACAAATACTCTTAATCTGCACAAGACTGGATTAGTTCCTCTGTCACCGATAGCACCCTGTTCTGCCCAAATCAAATGCCCCCAAGATGTACCTTTAAGTTAGGCAGAGGTCACCGGGGCAGACAGGGAAAAATGAGCACTCCACATGTCTGTAAGTTATCTGAGCGGTGCAGAATAGCATCTTGCACCTTAGCAGATCTGCCGGGCTGATACTCGCTTCAGCAGAGAGTGATTAAAGATCCACAGTGATGACACTGAATTTCAGATCAATATTTGAAGGCCAGTCCTGAGGGTGTGATTACAGGAAGGGAATATAATGTTTATTCTGTGACCCAGGAGTCACACTGATCCAGTCTCTGACATTGAGAACAGCCAAAATATTATACAGGAACAAAAAAAAAAAAGATATATTTATAAAGTATAAACTACTGTAATACAAATCAATAAATAATAATAAAAGTAATAATACAAATAATAATAAAAAGACAAAATGTATATAAATATAATTGATAAGAAATATAAACATATATCAATAGATATTTTTCTTTGATAGCTAAATGACATTTTAATTGCTGTCAAATCCTGATTAAAAAAAAATATGAATCATACATCTGATAACCTTAAACGGACCCAAACTGAAGGAGTAAATAACAAATAAAAATATCAGGGAGCCCTCCACCCCAAGTCAGCCGACTCCTGCTACCACAACATCCCACCCTTCCCCCATCCCTCACATGAGAGGGCTGGCCCAGCGGGCAGTAAGGCCCCTCATCTGAGCAGACAAAATGACTATTTAAAAATAACAGTGATTGCATAAATTGAATTAAAGCGTTTTGGTCACGGTGGAGGTGGCGCAAGGGGTGGCGTGGGCCGCAGCAGACAGCCGGGATGGTGGCAGGCAGCAGATGACGGGCTCTGGCCTGCGTGCCACTGCGTTAATTGGCTGCGGCACATTAATAAAAACTGAAAAGTGTCTTCCACCAGCTCCATAGGATGAAGAGACAGAAGCAGAATGAGAGGTAGAATAGGGAGGGGGTTGGTGCGAAGGAAGAGAAATGGGCCTTTGAAGAATATGGTGTGTATGTGGAGGGGGTTTGGGGTGGGGTGCTAATTGTGTTCAATTAATTGGCTGATTGGCACTGACAGAATCTGGGCACTGACAAGTCAGGCACAGATGAGGACGATTAGTGGGCACTGGAACAAGCTGTCACTCCTCACAACATGTTAGCCTTTCTGCGCCTGGCTGCGTCTCTTCTCCCTGTGAAGCTGTTCATGCATACAAAAAAAGCTAAAACAAGTGGAAAAATGAATATTTATTTGAGTCCATAACTCCTCTTTCTGTCTTTGCAAATGTCCATTAGGCAAAATCCTCTGCAGCCCACTTAAGTTCATGCTAGTTTAAGTGTTCAAGAAAGCACAGCTGTTCAAGCCGTAGGAAGGCTCGCCCCCCCCCCCTTCCCTCCTAAACATCCCACAGTATAAGCTATAAACTTGGCCCCGTGCTAACCAGAGGTTAATATGCCGTCTATTGGACTGCAATTGGAGAACGTGTGGGGAGCAATCCTCTATTCTCTGCTAGTGATATGCTTGAGTAACTATGGGATGGATTCAGCCACTG